CTGCACCGCGTGTGGTAGGCCCCAGCCACCGGACGGGGGTCTGCACCCGCTGTTCTTTTCCCTGCACGGTGCGGCAGGTGTGCAAGAGGACGGAGCACAGCCTGGGTGCATCTCTTTCCTCACAGAGACGGTCAGACCTTCCGGAAGCAACGGAAGGTATTGTCAAACGCAGCATAGGCTCCAGAGAGCAGGCTCAGCCGGAACAAAAAGACCTGTTGTGTGTGCCTCGAGTCTGCGGTCTCTTACCTCTAGCTCCATTACTAAAGCATAAAGGAGTTTGAAAACCGAATCCGTAACCTGAGCTCTAGCTAGATCGTCCAGGGTCGGGTGGGGGTGGAGAAAGCTTGGGACAGAGGTGATGTGGGGACTGGGATGCCCGAGTGACCAGGTGAAGGCATCACAGGCCCGCTGGGGACAGTCTCACCCATTCACTTTTACAGGTAGAGACCGATGCCCAGAGAAGTGAATTCATTGTTCAGGATCACTCACCTGGGAGTTGAGTCATTGGGAACTGGAGCAGCTATGCGTTGGCATGCTCAGGCTACACGGTTAAAGAAAAAAAAAAAAAAAGCAGTTTATTAAACAGCATGCAGACCCCTACAGTCAGAACGCTGAGGAGGAAGTCGGGTGGTTTTTTCCTATGAATTGCTTCAGCACCCAACCCAGAGCCCTGTTTCCCTGTCCCCCAGAACTTCTGATTGCAAAAGAGAACAGGGATCTAGGGAAATCTGCTTTAGAATGTCCCTTGTAAATTGAGAGCCCCCAGGGAGAATTCTAGTGGTAAGGAGCTGGAAAAACTTTATTAGGTCCGAGATTCAGAAGACGTTTGACTTCTCTCAGGAGATGCCTAAAACTCTAGGGTTTGAAAGAACTCGTGTGAATTTCCTTGAACATGGGAACTTGTATAGATCTAGCATGAGACCCGACTTGCTCTCAGTTTAAGGCCTGGGGACTCCAGGACTGTTTGCAAAAAACAGAACAAAGAGAAGCGGCACAGACCGGAGATTCCAGTCTGAGGGTCCTTTTCCTGGTATTTTTTTAGGTTCAACCTCGACTCACACTAGTGAGTTTACGCACTGTAAATTTGAGTTATAATGGAGATAATAAAATGCAGATTTTAAGTGTACGCTTTGATGAGTTTTGATATATGTATACACATGTGTAAATATGACCTCATTCAAGGTAAAGTACATATTTTTATCAATCCAAGTATCTTGGTAACGTTAGCTATTTAAGCAAAATTCAAAAATTAGATTGTAATAACTTTGGCTCAGACTTGAATTTGTTTCTAAGTTTGGTATACTTCCTGCTTTTTCAAAGTTGAACCGTATTTTTGTCCCAGTTATGGCATTTTAAGAACAAATTTAAACAGAAGTATAGAGGGGCTTTCATAATTCTGTCCACCAAAGAGTGATAATTGTTAACAGCCTGAGGTTAATCCTTCCAGATTTTAAGATTTTCAATTTTAAGTAATTACTGTCCCTAACGTGGTGTTTGAACTCACAACCCCGAGATCAAGAGTCACACACTCCACCGACTCAGCCAGCCAGGTGCCCCTCCTTCCAGATTTTTTTAAAAAGACGATTTATTAGAGAGCATGCACGCAAGCAAGCACGGGTGAGTGAGCATGGGAGGGGAGGGGCAGAGGGAGAGGGAGAGAGGAACTTAAGCAGACTCCACGCTCAGTGCAGAGCCCAACGTAGGGCTCGGTCTCACAACCCTGAGATCATGACCTGAGCCAAAAACAAGAGTTGGCCACCTAACTGACTGTGCCACCCGTGCACCCCACCTTCCAGATTTTTCATGTCTATTTCTCTAATTCTACTTTTTAAAAACATAGCATCATTCTATATGTGATACAATGTGTTTTGTTTTGCTTTTTCTTACATAGGGAGTACTAGGTTGTGGACAACTTTCCTTACCAATGCACACATATTATCTTCCATTTTTTTGTGTCCAGTTAATATTTCACATTATAGATGCTTTAGAATTCATTTAGCCAATCTCTCTATTAATAGATAATTAGGTTATTTGTTCACATGCCTGAACATTTCCTTTGGTTAAATTTTATATATCTATAGATGCAGGTACATATATAGATCTCTATCTCCAAAGTATTAATGCACACTTTTTATTAAAGTCTGTAAGATAATGCCTTTTACCCATACTTTCATATATACTAGATATTAACTCTTAAATCTTGTTAACCTGATTAAAAATATTTTTATGTCTTTGTAAATAATTAGCATTATTGTTGAGCATCTTTTCCAGTGTAAGTTCACTGTGCACATTTCTTAGGTTGAAAGGTACTTTTCATTTGTCTTCCGTGTGCAGTGTTCCTATTTTTAAAAATTTATATCTAGCACCTGGTGTCTGGCACAGAGTAACCAGTCATTACTGTCCAATAACTGTATTATGTAAATTTGTATCATTTTCAAGAGTACGGAGAATACTACATTGAGCCCTCATGGAGGCAACATCCAGCTTCAGTATTTATCAGCCTGAGGCCAATGTCAATCATCTTTACCCACGGCCTGCCCCCACCCTGATTGTTTTAAAGGGCATTCTGTGAAATGATTCCTTTTTGAGAGTTCTTTGGAATATGGGGATTTTATTTTTTTATTTTTTTGAGAGAGCACATGTATGCGAGGGGGGTGGGGCAGAGGGAGAGGGAGAGGGAGAATGCTAAGCGGGGTCCGTGCTCAGTGCAGAGCCCCACAAAGGGCTGGATCTCAGGATCCTCAGATCATGACCCGAGCCCAAATCAAGAGTTGGTTGCTTAACGGACTGCGCCACCCAGGTGCCCCAGAATATAGGGATTTTAACTCTTTGGTCATATGGTACAAATATCTCACCCCCCTACCCCGTTTCCCATTGGTCTTTCAGTATATGATGGTATTTTTGTGCCCTGTTGGTTTTCAACGTCATGTTCTCCCATCGTCAGTCTCTTCCTATAGGATTTCTGGACTTTTCAGTATCAGAAAGGCCTCCCCCACCACAGTTCATAATAATATAGTCAAAGAAAATATCTTAAAAATAGGTTTTTGATCTTTAGCTCATCTGGAATTCAATTTCAGTCTAGAGTAGAGGGAAGGGTTACCTGCTTTTAAATGGTCCCTTGCTTGATAAAAGATTCATGTTAAAACTTTTTACAGACACAGTAAAGTAAAAAAGTTCCCCTACTAAACTGTAAAAGCAGTTTAGTCAGTATAAAAGGATTTGTAATAAAGGCCATAAGCTATGTATAAAAACTGTTGGAGGAAGAAGGCGGATCTTATCATCAGATGTTCTCAGTTGGTCGCATCTTCTTAGCACCTATTTTAAATCCTTGGGCCTCGGTCTTCAGGGTTGAGCTCCAAAGGCATTTGCATGTTTGTTCCTGTTACCACGTGGAATATTTCAGAACTTTCTATAACAGGCCGTGTTTGCTCCAGATTTATAGCTCTCCTGCTATTCCGAGGCTTGTTGGTTACCTTACCCCTTCCTTGTTGGAAGGGGCGCTGTGCAGTCCTTCCCTTCAGGGAGGGCGGGGCGGGGCGGGGCAGAGCAGGAGGGGGGGAGGGGCAGGCTCGCCGGAAAGCGGCCATCTTTGTTTGCGCCTGCTGGGTGCTCACCTCCTGTGTCGTTTTGCAGGCACATTCTCATCTGCCTTGCTGCCTACCTGGGCTGTGTATGCTTTGCCTACTTCGATGCTGCCTCCGAGATCCCCGAGCAGGGCCCTGTCATCAAGTTCTGGCCCAGCGAGAAATGGGCCTTCATCGGCGTCCCCTACGTGTCGCTCCTGTGTGCCAGCAAGAAATCACCGGTCAAGATCACGTGATGGCAAGGCAGTGGCTGGCTTCTCTGCTTGTTTTCCCTCCTGCACTGGGCTTCGCTTGCCGGCAAAGACAGCCGGTGGTTTGTAGAGTTGGGGGTAGGGTCTGTCTTCTTAGTATTCTGTTCCCTTGAGCTCTGACTAGCGTGTCTGTGGCCCACCAGGACTCCAGTGTGCATGAGGAGGAGGGTCTGCCCCGTTCCCGAGGATGGAAAGTGCAGAACTGAGGGCCACCAGGTAGATCTTCTCAGTGTCCCTTTCAGATGCAGTGACTGGTTGGGCTGAATCCTTTGTGATGGCAGAGCAGTCCTTTTGGGGAGCCTCATTTCCCAGGAGGAGTTTGCTGCAGACCCCACGATTCCCATGGGCTCTCAGAGTGGACGCTCTTGCTGACCTACAAACTCTGTGACAGGCAAGACAGGCTGACTGATGGAAGATGCCAGGGATTTTCATTTGGGAAAACAGTCCTAAAATAAAAGCAAGCCAATGAAACCCACACAGGGCTTGTGGCTGAGGAGGCTGCTAGTCCACTCGGAGATCTCAGTAACTGGATTTTACATGTGCTTGTGAATCCTTTCTCTACTACCTCTGCTGAGTGACGGGGACTTCAGAGGAGGGTGAAGCAGACGGAAAAACCCTCTGTGCCAAAAGCTACACTCCACTTTAAGCCATTCTTGAAGATGAGCACAATTCCTAAATGTCGACTGTGTTGCCCGCCCCCCCCCCCCCCAGCCCAGTGGCCTCCCAACACACCGAGAATAGGTGTGGTTGAGCCCTCTGCACATAGACCCCTGCTCCTTACTGCTGAGCTCTGTAAGGTCAAGGCCTTGGGATGGTCACGGTGGGGATCCTCGGAAGTTCTGGAAACTTTTGCTGATGGGAAGCCTTCTATCCTGGAAGTCCAGTATTTCCTGCGGGAGTCCTACTCCATAGTCTCACAGTACAAGGTGCTTCCTGCTGTTTCTCCGAGCATCTGACGACTGTTTCTCTCGAGGACTGAGGGGACTACATGCTGGCTTTTGGGGTTGCTGGTGCAGTGGGCAAGTCTGTTGCCTTCAGAGGTCTTCCTCAGCTCAAATGACACTGGCTACCACTAACCTCTTCACTGGGCTGAATGAGGACTCCAGAATGGTCATCACGGTGTGTGTGGGGGAATACAGGGCCTCAGGGATACTCACTGAAGCTCCGACATCTCCTGCCTTGCAGCATTCCATTGTGAAAGAGCAGGAGGAGGTGCCCTTGTGAGGGCAGGAGTTGTGTCACCAAGGACCGAAGAGTTGGGCAGTACCAGTCCGTGGCATGTCTGGGAACTCTTGCTTTGATTAGAATTTTGTACAGGATCGAAGGTGAAAAGTCCAATAAGGAGCAATGAACCGAGGGTTTAAAAATGAATGACATTGTTCTCCTGTGGTTTTCAAGTTATTTTTAGCAGAACCCTATTTACACTAAGAAATCTTGAGGGAACCCAAATGTGAGAAATATGTTCTATCCGTTTAGGTTTATCTGAAGGTTAAACTTATCTATTTCTCTAATATCATGCAGTGAAAGTGCAAGTTAAATTGTGGTTTCCATGGTAAAAAATTTGGTGTTGAAGGAGTGTTCTTGTTTATTATGGTTTAAAAATATACTTTGAAGAAAGGTATTTATGTATTTGTGGGGTTCTAACGCACCTCTGACACCTAGGTGGTTCCATCCGAGAGTTTTAAAACTGTGGTCTAGAATTTTTTAAAGGGAAATAGCAGTCCTCGATTCAGATTAATTTTACCAGGCATGGATTCTGGGCTCATCCATTCTGCAGTATAAAAATGCTCCAAAGTAAGGGGAAGCTTTGATGTACTTCAGGCCCAGCTGTCTTAGTGTGGAAGCGTGGATGGGGAGAGGCAGGGGTGTGGGAAGTGTTTGTGTTATATGTGAGGTTTAATTACTGTCTTGAGAGTTCCTCAGTGATGGGAACATTGTTCCAGCAGTCAAGGAGGGACTGTGTCTCCCTATCAGGTAAAGGGGTGGATCCCTGAGGAACATCACCTCCAGCTCTCAACTCTTTGACCTTGCTCTTCTGGAAATTTCTGAGTGTCCTTTGGAAATAGGGATACAACATGACTGCTGGAAATAAGGAAATCAGTGCCCCCAACTCACAGAGCTGTTTCCATCCATTTTCTACAAGACAAACGATTTAGTTCAGATGTCAGAAGGGATGTTTTTGCTGTTAAACCCAAAAAACAAAAAACCCCCCAAAAACAGAAGGCCCTTCTAGAGATTGTTTTTAATGAGCTGAGGGCTGATAAAGAAGTACGGAATGGGTCTATTTGAGGACAAAAACAGAACTCTTGGACAAAAAAAATCACTCTAGCTTGATAGTGTGAAGATGGTAAATTGAGAAAGTAGGAGTTGAACAATCTTTTTTGAAGTTAGTCTTATGGCGTCATACTTATATTTACATTTATATTTATGATGCTTTTCTAGCACTAAACACTCTTGAAAGAAAATTGGAAAACTACAGGAAAGTTGAAGAGAAAAAAAGTCTGCATTTCTACTGGCCAAGGACAATCATTGTTAATATTTTGGTATTTGGTGTATTTCCTTCTCATCTTCCCCCTTTCCTCCCACCACAGAGTTGTAAGTAGCTGACTTTTAGAGTGGACAGTTCATCCGATTGCTTGAATGGATTTTAAATGCCAGTTGTGTATTTTTCATGAAGAGCAGCTTTTGGGACACACGCCGGTTAGAGCTGTACACTTGAGAGCTCATCACTGGATTCTGACTTACTGCTGAGTCTTTTTAAATTGAGCCTGGCATGAATGGGTCCTAAGAAATAATGAACTGAATTCTACTTTTCGAGAGGCCTCTGCTCTTGGATTGACAGGTCATGGGAAACCGCTGTTAAAAATAGGGCTCTACAGGTTTTCAGATTTTAAAAAAGTGAATAGCTTATTGTGCAATCAAGAATCTTTTTGTTTTTTTGCCCCTAATAATGCAGGGACATGGAGATTTGATGTTTGGGAGTTAGTCACAGTGAGGGGCTGCCGTGACCTATCACAGTTTTATTCTGCTTAGATAGAATTTGCAAGATCGAGAACCGGCAGGAATTGGATCCAAGATATTAAACATTATTATCCTAGTTACCAAGCAATCATTTAAGTCTGATTCTTATTTTACAGTGTTTGATTGAATCTTGATTTTTAGAAAAAAATCTTTTCTCTTTATGATTATGATTATATTTGTTAGCACTTCAGTGAATATATTTAAGGTGTAGGGGGAAAAGATACCTGACTCTGGTAACAGGCTACATTTTGGGGGAAACTAGGCCTGTCCCTCGGATGGGTGCCTAAAACGTTATTTGCGGACCCAAGATGTTCTGTTGGGGGGAATCTAAGCTTGATGGTCATCAAGCACAGACTTTCTGAAAAATACCGTAACTTGTTCTTTTTATTGAATTCTCAGGTGTTTTAAAACTTCTCACCAGTTCATCACGCTTACGTGAGCCGGCGCCATGTTGGAGGCTCTGAGAATGGGATGGAGTCTCCTTGGCTCTTCATCCCTGGGGGCTGACACGCAACCATCTCTGGAGGATGGGGGAGGGCCGAAGCTTGTCCAACGAGCCCCCCTCTCCTAGCTCCTTTTCCCCAAATGAGCTTGGAACCTTTCATTGCCAGCTCTTTGCCTGGGTGCTACCATTCCAGCTGGCTAAAGAGAATTGGCAGGCCAGATCGGGGTTCTCAATGGATTTTAAGGACATTCTCCTACAGATTTAAAAAAAAAAAAAAAAAAAAAGGACTAATTGTTTGAATGGTTTCTTTCTCTCTGTTAAACCAGATTGAAGACTATTTTATAATCACTGTGTAATCAGAGCATATATATTTTCAGATATATCCCTTGTTTTATACTTTATAGAGTTGTGCGGTATAAGGGTGGTGTACCCACTGGCTGTGGTAGCATTTAGTCTCCATTGCTTTGGGAGTGATTTGAAGCCTTTTGAAATGGAGCTTTTGCACTTTATGCTATTTTTGTGAGCTATGACGGTTATATTCGATATTAAAGCCGTAAGTGGCATTGTCTGTGAATATGTATGTTTGTGTTTATTTCCAAAATGATTTCTGAAATACCTGAAAATGAAAAATGCAGTTAATGGATTGTCAGGCAAAGCACATTTTCCCCAAATCAATGTGTTAATGAATTTGGGTGTCGTTATTACTAAACATACTTTCGATTAGAGTAGTTGTTTCTTCTCAGAGCTTTGAAATTAACATGCCTAGTATTTCCCATATGAAGTGCCCAAATGCACAGTGAATTTCTTTAGCAGGAAAATTCTGTATGTACCTGTTTTTAATTCCCTATGACCATTTTTTTTATTATTAAAGATTTCATGGGCCATATTTAAAAGAACAGTGTGACCATCAGGAGAGAGACGGGGTCAGGGTCAGCATTATTGGCATCATTACGGTGGGTTTTTTAGACTTTTTTTCTTCTGGCCTGGGTGAAGGGATAAGGAATGGCCACATAGACTTTTTACAAGCTGGTGGGAACAGGAGTCTTCTCCCTAGAAAAATGAGTATCCAAGTAATTTTCTGGGAATTCAGCTATCCCTAGGAGCCACCCAAATAAAGAGCTCCCGCAGGACAGGTCACTAGACCAGGATTCAAATCCTCCTTGGGGCTGAAATTGGTCACCTCCACAGGTCTGCGTTCCCAACTGGCCTCTAAAACCAGTGGTCTGCCCCTCCTCTAAGTCAGGACTTGCCATTATGAAGGGCTGGAGGGGGAGACCCACGATGCTAGCAATGCACATTTTAAGTGTCCTCAACAAACTGGGAGCTTACATTTGCCTCAAGGCTCTTTCCTGGTTTATAGTAGCAGACCCTCCCATATGATTGTATCAGGGTCTGTCCTATTATTCTAGCTTTTGTATAGTTGAATTTTTCCATAATAAAAAAATTTAAGAGGTAGAACATTTGGGGTTTTTGTCCTTCATGCTCTGGGGTGGGGCTCGGCCTCCTTCCTGCCCCAACGTAAGGGCACTGGCAGCCTATTTCCCCAGCTAAGGATTTGTCTTAGAAACAAAGGTGCTCACTTAAGGCTATCTCCAGGCCTGGTGGGTGACACCCCACCTCCCTGGGAAGTCTCTCTGGATGGTAACTGACACAAAGGGAAAGATCAACCTCAAGTGTTTTTGGTTGGTTTATTTTATATTTCTTATTAAGACATTTGATTCAGCTGCTTTTACAAGAGAATAGAGACCATATCACGATCTTAAAAATTTAACAAGTAGCAATAAAAATCAGTAGCTTTTGCATTAAGGCTAGTCACAAAAAAGTGGCTTATGGGAAGGCCAGGAGCATGAAGAGACACAAAATGGACGGTGGTATTGGTGACATTTGCTAGGGAAGGAGGTCTGAACAAAGCAAGCCATAGCTACGGGGTGGGAAGGACCGGGAGCGACTCATGGAGTGATATTGCCATCTTGTGGCCTTTTCAGGTATTCCTCTCAGTGGTGCACTTGGAGAACTTCCCAATCGCAAATCACCACCGAACTCAATATAACTATCTCAAAACTCCCACAAGTCACACAACTTCTTTCTGTGTCCAAGTAGGTGTTCCTGCTTTTTTGCCCCCAAGCATCACTGCTTTTTCCCCCCTCCTCGCTTCCCCCAGCGACTCCTTCACCCTCTAGATGTTTGATCTCAGAATTCTAAAAATCGGCCGGATACCATAAAGCAAATGGTTTCCTGCACATAAAACTGAGTCAACATAGTTGTGATCTAGAGGAAGTTTTTTTTTTTAATCCACTGGAGTTAAGTTTTGGGATTAATCGTTCCGTTTACACAAGTCAAATGCCAGTACAACCCCAAAAATCTTTAAGACTGAATCCAGTTTGAACCAACACTTGGCAAATAAATGCCGGCTTTGTATTACACGTGCTAGCTGCAGAGGGCTATATGATGAACAACGCAATGTGCCCTGTGCAGGAGGAGAGAAACTGCCAATTGCTGAAATCCGTGCATACAAGATGCATCAACAGTGCTGGGAAGGCAGGCAGGAGTGGTAAATCTGAGCCGTGGGGTGTTGCTTTGAGACTTCTAAGCTTTAACTGATGGACCGCGAGCCATATTTAATAATATATAATCTCCCAGACCAATGAAAGGATGTGTATGTTGCCTAGGAGTAGTGTTTTCTTAAAGTAAACCCTATTTGAGAGCTCAGCACATAAGTTAGCTTTCACACAAAATGGTCTTGTTTAGTCCTCACGACTTTGTGAAGCCAGTATTACTATTATTCCAGGTTTGATGATGATAAAACCGAGGCTCAGAAAGGTATTTTGATCACAGCCATTAGGTGGCAGAGTCAAGATTTAGATGCAAGACTTTCAACTCTTCTGTTTCTACAAAGGATTTTAAAATTTATTATTTTTACTTAAATTCAATTGATTAACATACAATGTATTATTAGTTTCAGAGGTAGAGTTCAGGGATTCATCAGTTCTATATAACACCCAGTGCTCATTACATCACCTGCCCTCCTTAATGTGCATCCCCCAGTTACCCCATCCCCCCACCTCCCTCCCCTCCAGCAACCCTCAGTTTGTTTCCTTTGATAAGAGTCTTATGGTTTGTCTCCTGCTCTGATTTCATCTTGTTTTATTTTTTCCTCTCTTCCCCTATGATCCTCTGTTTTGTTTCTTAAATTACACATATCAGTGAGATCATATAATTGTCTTTCTCTTATTTTCTTAGAATACCCTCTAGTTCCATCCACGTCGTTGCAAATGGCAAGATTTAATTTTTTTTTAATGGCTGCATAATATTCCATTGTATATATACACATCACATCTTTATCCATCTGTTGACGGAAATCTGGGCTCTTTCCATAGTTTGGCTATTGTGGACGTTGCTGCTATAAACATTGGGGTGCAGGTGTCCCTTTGGATCACTACCTTTGTATCTACCCAGTAGTGCGATTGCTGGGTCTTAGGGTAGCTCTATTTTTAACGTCTTGAGGAACCTCCATAATGTTTTCCAGAGTGGCTGCACCAGCCTGCATGTGTAACAGTGTAGGAGGGTTCCCCTTTCTCTGCATCCTCACCAACATCTGTCGTTTCCTGACTTGTTAACTTTAGCCATTCTGACTGGTGTGAGATGGTATCTCATTGTGGTTTTGATTTATATTTCCCTGATGCTGAGTGGTGTTGAACATTTTTCATGTGTCTGTTGACCATTTGTATGTCTTTGGAGAAATGTCTGTTCATGTCTTCTGCCCATTTCTTGATTGGATTATTTGTTCTTTGGGTGTTGAGTTTGATAAGTTCTTTATAAATTTTGGATACTAGCCCTTTATCTGATAATGTCATTTGCAAATATCTTCTCGCATTCTGTCGGTTGTATTTTGGTTTTGTTGACTGTTTCCTTTGCCGTGCAAAATTCATTTTGCCTTTGTGGCCCTTGCCTTTGGAGACGTGTCTAGCCAAAAGTTGCTGTGGCTGAGGTCAAAGAGGTTGCTGCCTGTGTTCTCCTCAAGGATTTTGATGGATTCCTGTCTCATATTTAGGTCTTTCAACTACAAAGGATTTATTTTCGAAATGGCAAAAGAGGTCAAAGGTTTTCATATGGGTGGGCACCAAGTTGGGAATATCAGGTTCATAACTGTCCTGTTAATATACAGGATTAGATAAGATACAGAGTAGCAGGGGGCATAGAGGAGGTGCTTAGTGAGTGGCAGCTGATAAGATGATCTCCCACCAGACAGTCATGGAAGTCAGTGTGGCCAGTGAAGAGCTGCACCCCATCCCCCATACTTCCCAGGGGTGACAGTGTGTGTACACATGGGAATCCTCCTAATCCTGGTTCCACAGTCCAAGCTCTCTTTCCATAGTGACAGATTTGCAAATCCAAGTCTTTCCTGGCCATCTCTGGACATCCGCTAGGCACTTCACATTTGCCTTCATTCATGCCTCTCAAACTTGCACCTTGTACAGTTTCTCAGTACGCCATGTACTTTCCATTCATTTGCCAGGGAAATCCCTGCCTTCCTGCTGTTGTCCATATCTAACCTAACAGTAAGAGAAGCCTCTGGATTCCACTTCCCCAATGTCTTTAAAATCCATCCATTTCTCTCCATCCTAGTGAAGCAGCTACTATCTCTTGCCAATCCATCCTTCATCCGGAGCAACAGCCTTTTTTTTTTTTTTTTTTTAAGATTTATCTGATGGTGGTGGCGGCGGAGGGTGGAAGGAGACGAGTGGAGGAAGGGGCAGAGAGAGGGAGAATGAATCTCCAGGAGACACTTGGCTAAGTGCCGAGCCTGATGCGGGGTTTGATCTCAAGACCCTGAGATCATGATCTGAGCCAAAGCCAAGAGTTGGCCACTTAACCAAATGCACCACCTAGGCCCCCCTCTCCCCGCCAGTCATCTTTCCGAAGAAAAATCTGACCAGGTCAATTCACTGCTCAAAGCCCACCAATTCTTCTCCATCGCTCTGAAAGCAAAGCAAACTTAATCTTTAAAAAAAATTTGGGGGCGGGGGCAGAGGGAGGGAGAGAGAGAAACCCAAGCAGACTCTGCGCTGAGGGCAGAGCCCGATGTGGGGCTTGACCCCACAACCCTGAGATCGTGACCTGAGCCAAAATCAAGAGTTGGGCGCTCAACTGACTGAGCCACCCAGGCATGCCCCAAAGCAAACTTTCTTTGAGGGCCTTAACATGATTTAGAATCTCCTTCACCATCTGGTCCTTGCCTTCTTTTCCAGCCTTGTTCTGAGCTGCTCTCCTCTTGGACCCTTCACTTGAGCGAAGACATTGGCGTAACTCTACATGGTCTTTCACATGGCCTTCGGGCCTTAGTTACACAGTGCTGTGCAACAAGTCACTCCAAACTCAGTGGGCTTGCAGCAACAGATTTGCTCCCTTAGGTCATAAATTTGGGAGCAGCTTAGCTAGGTGGTTCTGCCTCAGCTTGACCACCAGCTCATGAAGAACTGATCAGCTGGGGCTGTAGTCATCTGAAGGCTTGACTAGAGAGGTAGGATTCACCTCCCAGGTACCTCACTCACAGGGCTGCTGGCTGAAGGCCTC